ACTGATCCTCGGTCTTATGGCGGTCAGCGCTGTCCCCTTTCCCACTTCTGCTCCGGTTGTGGCATGTCCCTTGGTGTCCTTATATCCAATACAAGCCAATAGTCCTCCATTAGACATGATGATGTCAGCGGTGCTTAGACTGCCAGGGGAGAAGAGGCTGTGGGGACTGGTCTAGCAGCCCAGAGGAGGCGAGAACAGAGTGACCGAGATTAACTCATCACTTTACTGCTTCTCCTTTCTCCGTGACTTCCATCAGTGTGACTGTGATTGGGCAGATCACTCCCCTCTTCCTGTTGTGTGCGAAATGTCTCCTTTGTATCTCTTTATTACCTGATATATTATTATGTTTATGTATCATGGAGGAGTTTTGTAAATAAGGAACGGTATCCGAGGCCTCTGTGTTGTGTCAGATTAGAATGGAAAATAACCGTCACCTCTGATCAATATTTACAGATACATAATAATATTCCCTATCCATGGAGTCCGCAGAACACAATCCCTCATTACTTCCTGAACAATCCCAATATCTTTTCTATCTTATACACATATAATACATGAGGATTACATATAGAGCTGTGATCGGCCCTTCCTCCGGGCCCCTGGAACAGCCATACCAATCGTACATCACACAGACCATACATCACACCGCTGGCCTGGTGTCACATGAGAGGAGAGGGGGGAATGCAGATACCAGTCATCACTATATAAATATCTAGGATCAGGGGAAGCAATCTCCGGCCCTCCAGCTGTGGTGAAACTACAAATGCCATCATCAATACTAGTTTTTTTAGTGGAGTGGGAAAAGGGGACCCAGACAAGAAAAATCTGACAGATCCTTTAACCCTTCCAGCTCCATCCAAAACCTAAAATTAGGGATGCACCGATGCTAGTATTGGGGGGAGTACGCCCAAATGCTCTGATATTGGAACTTCCCTCTGACTGGCAGTGCCGAAGGAGCATGAAGCCGGCTTCCTTTACAATCGGGAAGCCGGGTGGTGGGTTATGACAAGCCTCCCGTCTTCCTGATTGGCTAAGAAGCTGGCTTCACTTGTTGCTGGGCAGCCTGGCTTCCTAGCCAATCAGGAAGGTGGGTGGCATGTCATGACCAGCCTCCCGTTTTCCCTCCAGTCTTCCATCTGACCTTGGTCCTTCCCTTCAGTCTCCTATCTGACCTCGGTCCTTCCCTTCAGTCTCCTATCTGACCTCCCTCCTTTCCTTCAGTCTCCTATCTGACCTCCCTCCTTTCCTTCAGTCTCCTATCTGACCTCCCTCCTTTCCTTCAGTCTCCTATCTGACCTCCCTCCTTCCCTTCAGTCCCCTATCTGACCTCCGTCCTTCAGTCTTGCACATTTCACTTCTTTCAATCATGGGGGCTCAGTATCACATGCAGGCGTTACCTAGGGTGTGGTCTGCCTAGGAGCACCCACTCCTCCAGACTGACATCCACCCATCAAGGCATTTTATATTTTCATAACTCCTCCCAAGAGCCAGCCCACCACTTGCTTTAGAACTGAGGGATCCTGAGAGGAGCACAGAGGCAGGGTGCTGTGATGTTTTCAGGAAACTATATAGAGCACCCTGCTGGCCCCTCCCACGATCTGCCTGCATTACACAGCGACCCAGTGATGATAAAGAAGGTATGTAATCAAAATAGAAGACTGAACTGGAGAGAGTGAGCAGCTCACTGATTAGAATTACACGGCGCTCTGTAAAAGTGTAATGAGTAATGTTATCATTTTACCTCTTACTGGCCTCGAAGAAAAAAATGTAAATATACAGAACATAAATTATCCCTGGAAATCAAAATTAGGCCCAAGAGAGGAAGGCAAAGGAATCCAAACCACGTGCAACACTAAATACACTCAGATGTGCTTATACAACAAGAAAAAAGGAGAGCACTGGTGTCCAATAAGCCATGACCAGCAATCACACAGGACCTCTTACCAGTGTGCCCAGCATGGTTCTTTACTGGTTGTCCTGAATTATGAGCTCTTCCAGGGACAGAACCTATAAATTAGTATGTGGCCTGCATAAGGTGAATGAAGGTAGAGCCAGCACTATGGTGGAGAGGTCCTAACTGCACATAAGCGGTGCTAGACTACAGAAGAGAAAGGAGGTGAAGAATGGTCACTGATTTCTAGAGATGCATTGATACCGGTTTTTCGGTATCGAGTACGAGTAACAATAATTCGCTTTCGCTACTCGCCGATACCAAAGCATCCACTGCGATGCAGCTGGCTTCCCAGATATTCCGGCAGCCGGGCGGAGGATAATGACGGGAAGCCGGCTGTATTGTGATTGGCCGAGAAACTGGCTTCCCAGCCAATCGGGGTTGAGTATTGACCCACCTCCCGCCTTCTTGATTGGTCGGGAAGTCGGCCCCATGCAAGGAGCCGGACAATCAAGTAGGCGGGTCATTACTCGCCACTTGGCTTCCTCGTTGCCCAGGAAGCCGGCTCCATGGCACTGCCGGTCAGAGGAAATCTTCCCCATTCGCAAGTAAGAATGGGGCCCTACAGTTTATATTCCTAATCAGAAGGAAGGATTTGTTTTTGTCAGCAAAAGTAGAGATATCCACCAAAAATCAAAAACACCCCCATGGAAACACACCGTCCATGACTTCCATCATTGTGACTGTGATTGGGCAGATCACTCCCCTCTTCCTGTTGTGTGTGAAAGGTGTTTTGAAGGCCAGTCCTTGGATGACAACGCTGCTCCTCAATAGAAATGCTACAGTCAGTCAGTCTTGTCACCCTAGGACAGGAAGTGTGTTACTGGCAGGATCACCAGATGAGAAAAAGGGGGGGCGGGGGGCTAATGCCGCCACCACATCTAAGGACTGGAAAGCTGGAATCTATGACATCTCTCTTCTTGGATACAGGTACTGGAGTCACCATGACCTATGTGTGCAGAAGAAGAGAACCTTTGTGTCATCTCCCTGCACTGACGCATCCTGTTAATTGGCAGCACAGCATACCCAAAGCAGAGCAGGAATCAGTGACATTGCATCATGGGAGCCATCTTTTGTTATCCTGATTCAGAGTAGGAATGGACACCACTGGCTTTAGATATAAGAGTTGGAAGCCTGCCCCATGTAGCAGTATATCCCATACATTGGCTCTCCCAGAGAAGCATTGTACTGTGTGCGATCACATGTGTGTGTGTGTGTGTGTATATGGGGGACTGATTTATATGGTCGGTGACCATGTGGGAGGATATGTGTTGAAGTTCTTCCATATATGGTCGTGTTCTCTTGTCACATGTTCTATAATTTGGCTGCTGGTTAGAACAGCTAAACCCATTTCATCCCCCACGCCGGCCATTTAATCTGCGGCCTCCAATCATGTTTACATTATTCTGCGTATCGCTGAGTGAAGTTTGCCGTCTGGTGTTCCGCTGCACACACATACACAGAACTTGTGTCGGCTTTGATCCGTCTGGCCTGATTTGATGTGACTGGGTCATTTCGGTAGACGGTAGATATCGGTGTGTTGGGCTGAACTGACGGATTAGATCTGAAGATAAATCTGTACGTGATCAGGGGAAATGGACAATACAAATCCCCATGCAGTGGGGCTCCCCCTATACTGCAAGGGTTAAATGATGCTGATCACACAGGGAAACAGGAGAAAGGACTTCTACTTACCTAATCCCTCTACCCCCCGCCCCCCCAGCAGCTGGAGCTCTCCTCTTACCCCTGACGCTCTGGGGTGTGGGTGGTCTTATGACTTCCTCACTTACTGTGCCCTGCATTGTACTTGATGACATCAGAGTGCCTGAAACTGACGGAACACCAAAGGTAGGAGGCTGAGGTGCCGCACGTAGCATGGAGGGGGATGTGAAAGTTTACTTCTAGTAAATCTGTGTTACTCATGTAGGGCAGAGCAGGAGGGACATGTAAATGGTGAGTCCAATATCACTTACCTTGTGCTCCCCCAATGCTTCATTCACTGATAAAGGTCTGTGAAAGCTCTTAGTTACACAGGGCTGAGGACTCTTCTTCCCCATGTGACAGGGCTGGGTGTGTGAGTGGCCAATTACAAAGCACCAGAGCTGTCACATGGGAGGAAGAAGAGTGAGTCGAATGCGATTTCATACCTGAAAGTACCGGGTATTTTTCTTTTGCTCTTAGTGGAGGTTCCGAAGGGAAGGTGTATGAGTGTGCGGTGGTGGGGCCGCCATTAAAGTGGACCTGTTGCATTAACTCAACACAGGATTGCTTTAAGCTATCTCGGCATTCTCTGAGCACCAAAATGTGACTTCTTCTGTTGGGCCCCCAATAATTTGTTTCCAATTGGAGAATCTGTTGTGACATGCTATCATTAGTGTGTGATGGCTGCTTGAGTGAGTGGAAACTGCATATCTTCCCCAGAGTCTCCAAAACAGACACCTATAGTACCAAAAAGTATGGGGACACCTGAATGGCACCCCTATATGATATTGTTGGACATCCTAACCCAAAACCATGAGCTTTACTATGGTATTGGCAACCTATATCATCTTTCACTCTTCTGAGAAGACTTTCCGCAGGACTTTGGAGTGCGTCTGTTGGAATTTGTGCCCATTCAGACAGAAGAGTATTGGTGAGGTCAGGTACAGATGTTGGGTGGGAAGGCCTGGCTCACAATTGATGTTCCAGTTCATCCCAGAGGTGTTTAGTAGGGTTGAGGTCATGGTGTTATGGATGTTATGGTGTATAACGGTATGTGTGGTATCTGCATAGACTTCATTCTTCCTGGCACAGCAGTTGAGCCTGGTGATGGGTCACCCTGCATTGTGTAATGGTGGATGGAGCCTATCTTCTCTCCTCATACCCCCAACGTCGGGGGCTCTCGGGGTAGTTGGTTTGGTGCTGCATGTCTGTTATAATTGGGGTATTGCACTATTAGCAGCACTTTTAGTTTACTGGATGTTTAGAAGTGTGCTGTAAGTCAGTTTTGGTCATTGTGTAATATCTAGCAAGACTGTGCAGTAATATTCTGTTTCTCCTCTTACGGCAGGCTGCTGTGGACACTGCTACAAATGACAGAAGACTTCTTAAAGACACAGACTTTATATGGTAAGGCACGTCATTTATGTCTTTTTGGTAATACATTCAGTTCAGATTCCAAATTGACCTGTAAAAATGGCAGTATGGGGGCTGCCAGTGCTCACAGGCTCTGGGTCTGTATGTCACTGACTGAGAACTAGCATGAAGAATTGAGATTCCAGACTTAAAAACTCTCACCGGCGGCATTCTTGTTCTAAGTCAGTGACTCACTAGGTAGAGAGACCAGGACCAGGATAACAAACTTGGAGTGTGCTCAATTACAAGTAAGGTCAGCCATGACTGCTTCTATGTATGTATCCAAGCAGGTTCTCTTTAACCTTTGTCACAAGGTAAGCGTTTAAAGTCCTTGAAATAATAAAGATGCAGTGTGACATGGCATTTACCACTTCCAGTTTCCTAGTCCTATGTAAACCTTCATGTTCCAAGGGCTGTGCAGGCAGTCTATGGGGGTTATTCATGACCAGCTTCCGCTCACTTCACCTTCGGCTTGCTTCAGAGGCCTGAACCCTTCAGTGGAACCGAAGGGCTGCTGTACGGGGGTATTCACTATAGCCCGTACGCCAGCTGAGCGGCTCAGCCGAGCCGAACCCATATGCTTCGGCTTGGCTGAGCCGTTTTCCCAGCCGAAGCATGGAGAAACGTCGGCTGAAGCCGACCGTTCTCCACGGAAATTACAACTGCGCGGAGCCAGCCATGATATCACAGCTCGCTCCGCCCAGATCAGCATCCCCAAATGACCTGGGGATGCTGATCTGTCATTAACATTGACATCAAAGCTGGCTCCGCCCATTTGTTATTTATTGGCAGTGACCTGCTAGACAGCTCCACCCAATTGTTTTTAGTTTGACAGCATCTGTCAGATGCTTCATTATACGGCGGGAGTTCGTCACGTGCGGTCGGGTCGGCGTGCGCATTTTTAAATAATTATTTACATTTCTTGTTTTTTTGTAACGTTTTTTTTTTTTAGGTAATTTTTTCTGCATTTTTTTTGTACGGCTGATTTTAACGGCTGATTTTAGCCGATGTACGGTCATTCACTCGCGTGCCTTCGGCAGCTAAGTGAATAACCCCCTATGTCTCTGCAGTTTAATAGGCACCAGACTTGGACCCAGTGCTCTTAGTAATTAGCATGCAGTAACTGGGCAGCCGGCTTTACAACTGTAGACAGAGTCCCGGTGGGAGTCTGTTTAAATGGGCCAGCCGCTGGTGACCATTGACGTACTCCTACTGTGTACGTCAATGGTCACGAAGGGGTTAATAGGGGTTTCTACGACTGTCCTGTTTTTATATAGTGTTTTCTTCAACCTTAAAACAAATGGTGTATAGCATCTTGCAGTATGCAGGTTTTCATGTCATCACTTACTGCAGTTGAGACTGTGTCTTCTCTTGAAAGTGCCTCTTAGTCAGATAAGACTCTTCATTATCTCACAGATCATTTTGCTGATTGTGAGTGATTTTTACATCTTGATATTGTGACACACAGAAGGCAGGCTGCTGAAAATAACGGATGTGTGTGACGGGTAGGCAAATTCCGGTACTCCAAACTACAACTCCCATGAGGCTTGGCAAGACGCAGACAGTCACGACTCCCAGAGGCAGATGCATGATGGGATTTGTTGTTTCACCACAGCTGGAGGGCCGAAGTTTGCTTACCCTGGTCTATGGCATTTCTGTATTGCTGGAAAAGTAGATAGAAGCTAGAATTCCCCGTAAGCGCTTGCTGTCTGCTATGCACGTTCCTAGGAACAACGCTGACAAATTGGGATAGACAGAGGCCATCTCCGGTCCCATGTGGCTAATGGGAATAAGTGGACTGGCACTGGGTGCCATCGGCTGGCAGCACAACACTCGTCCTTAGCCCGGATATGCGCTAATATGTGGATTGTGAGTGACGCGTGATAGCCTCGCCACGTTTCCCCCCCCCCCCCGTGCAGCTGCTGTGCGCCGTGAGTCACTGGAATGACATCTTAAGTCAATCGTGCCTCCGACACAAACCTGTTTTACGGCTTATTCCTCCTCTTATTGTATTATCATTGTAGGAATCGCTGAACAGGTTAACCCTTGTAGGTGCCGAGCGAGGCTCTGCACTGTGCACGATGGGCTCTGTACCCAAGTACTGTACTGGAATTTCCATGAAGGGAGATCTGTGTATTGGGACTTAGTGAATAGGATTCTTACAGCACATCGTGCAAATTACTATGGCCAGAAGTGGAGTCTGGTGGGTCACTCATGGACTCCAGTGGTGAGATCTCCTCCTATAGCTCCTGGACGACTTCTAGTTTTGGGTATTTGTCTGACGTCTGTTACTTTCTCAATAACATATCAGTTACAACTCAATTCCTGCTAGTTGGGTTAGTTTTTCATTAGAGTGAGTCAGAGTTTCTGTCTGTGTCCTCGTTGGGGAAATGTACCCCCTCTTTCTGTTGTGCTGACAATATGAGACGAAATGGGGGTGCACGTGTCACCGGGACAGGAAGATGCATGTAATGGATGTCCTAACCCAACCTGATTCTTCTAAATAAATCAGGGGTTTGTTACTTCTTCCATCAAAGAGAAATTCCTTACCTTCCTGTCATCAGGAGAGGAAGTAAGGTTCATTAAAGTGGCCTGTTGGGGACACAGATGAGAGATATTTGAACCTTTCCCTTCTATGTACAAGGCTAGTACATTCCTGTCATCCGGAGAGGAAGTAAGGTTCATTAAAGTGGCCTGTTGGGGACACAGATGAGAGATATTTGAACCTTTCCCTTCTATGTACAAGGCTAGTACATTCCTGTCATCCGGAGAGGAAGTAAGGTTCATTAAAGTGGCCTGTTGGGGACACAGATGAGAGATATTTGAACCTTTCCCTTCTATGTACAAGGCTAGTACATTCCTGTCATCCGGAGAGGAAGTAAGGTTCATTCAAGTGACCTGTTGGGGATACAGATGGCAGATATGTGAAGCTCCTATGTGCAAGGCTAGTGTTCTGGCTAGAGTTGGGCTGTACATGACCTACTCTCATTGGCCTCCCCACCTATGCAGACCTTGAATTAGGAGTTTCATGTTGAATGTCATCAGGATCCGACATTGAGATGGACCGGAGCTATAGGAAGCGAAATATTGTGTAAGTGGCTTTATTGGTCTGCAGTAAGTCACCTCTGGATTGTAGACGATGCTGACTTGTGGCAGGGCTGTAATTGGAAGATCTCAGGTCATGTCCGCCTGAGGTGGACAAATGAATATGGAATTCAGGAGGCAGCAGGAATGTTTTTAAGAGACGGCTCCATTGACAACAAATAGAGGAAGCCCCAAGAATTGGGCGCCGGCTGTCATTTTTAAGAAACATTGGCGACCTGGCTCCTGGGATTTGTCCAGCAGTTATATCACTGTACTTTAGAACCCACCTCAGTGAAGACATTTGCAAGCTTCAGCTCTCCAAATAGCGCTCACAAAAGCCGTCTCTGTGACTTTGTTCTCCTAGATCTGTACTGTGTGATGCAGAGGGTGTATACCCTTCTCAGATATACCTTCTACCTCATAATAGAAGTCAGGGAAATGAATGGTTTGTGGTTGGTGAGGTGTACTTGAAGTGGCTACCCTCTCCAATGTACGGATCTTCCAGCGTTTTATGTCCTCGCGGCTCTATCGGAAGAGTACAGTCATGTTTGCCTGAGACTTCAGTAACTGCTTTGGCAGTGTCGGTGTCTGCGGCTGCCAGAATCCCTGGCGGGATAATGAGGGTTTAGGAAACGTGGTGACACGTACGGTTCAGTCAGTCTATTATTCCTAGCACAGTAACGTCGCCCATTCCTATTTAGTGGGCTGGAAGATGAGAGCTGTGTTTCCTTTATTACAGAATTGTGCCACTTCTCCCTGTAGCCGTTTGTGTCCTCCCCCCCTCTCGGTGTATATGAAGATTCTTTTGCCCATTGCCTCTGGCCAAAATTCAGCTGGCAATGGAAGAATGGGGGGTAGATTTACTGGAACAAGCTTAACTCCAAGCACCCAGCTGAATGAACTGTTAAAATACATATTTAGGAGCCTTCTCACCATCCATCCAAAGGATTTGTAATTCTGTCTATACAGTCCTATGATTCAGACAGCTCTGATAGGCAGCACAGCCAGCCCTGGTGATCTGTTTTTTGGTGCTGTCACCTCCTTGCCACCAGCATGTGATTCAACAGCGAAGGAGCAGCAGAACATTGGTGAGGTCAACCCTCTGCTCTCTCCTCCCGACACCTGATTGGCCCCTAGACTGTCCTTTCCTTTTCCAGCCTGCTGTACAGGGCATTACATAAGGATGAAATCAAATCCAATTCAGGGTTTTAGAGTAGTTGCATTTACAATACATGTGATATTTTTTTAATGTAACTGTATAGAGAAGGTGGGAGAAACCATTGCCCTTTTAAGTAAATGAATACTTCTACAGATTTTCTTGGGGACACACACAGCTTGCCTGCAATTCCTGTAGCGTCAGTACAGTGGTTGTATGCCCGCTAGCAAAATGATATATTCTATGCAGCCCTGCAAAACTCCCTCTTTGCCAGCAGCCGGTTTCCCCCATCCACCATACCAGGGGTAGAAAGACTTCAGCCCTCCAGCTGTGGTGAAACTACAAAGCCCGTCATGCATCTGCCTCTGAGAGTCGTGCCTGTGGCTGTCAGAGCCTTGCAATGCCTCATGGGACTTGTAGTTGCACAACAGCTGAAGGGCCAGAGTTGCCTACGTCTGCACTAGACGTTCATGCTACTACGGATGAGTCAGAATGAGCACGGGAGCTACTTGGCAGAGCCGCCACCTAGCAGAAAACAAATGATTTTCACATGCACCTCTGCTGACAAAACTGATGAGCAATTAATGACCGACTGGAATGCAGCACTGTATCAGGAAGGTGGCAAGAACCAAATCCCCCAAAAATCTCTATTAGTCAAATTCTAGAGAGAGTGACGTACTTCACGTCAGGAGCACATGTCACACATGTCACACATGTCATCAAGGGGCCAATATAAGGGCCACAAAGTTTATCA